AGCCTCGCTAGCAGCGAAGCCGACGCCGGCGTCCTACCCGTCAATGGACCCTCCGGCAGACTTCCCCGTGCTCGCGCCAACAGTCGTACCTTTTCTGCCTCACGCTCCAGCCTTATGTCGAACGACTCTTCTTACCGAGACCGGGGCAGTGTGGGTGAACGGTTCTACGAAAACAGTCCAAGAGCCAGGTAAGCCTTTCTTAACTTTGCCTAACTGATTGTCTTGCAGTTATACTCTTACCCAGTTGCGCTGATTCAATGTCATCATTGCCTTTGCGACTGCTTGTACGCTTCCTGTATGTGTCATAGGTCGGCGCTGTTAAAATCCCCCATATATATCAGAGTCCTCGAGGAACCACACATAGGGAGGCATTTCAGCTACTCTCACATGCATATTTTTAGGCTGATTTATTTATTTTTAACTGAACGTAGGTTGGTAAATGAAAGGACTATTGGTGCCAAAACGGAATAATGGTTGAGTCCGCTCCCATAGATTGCCACCCTCCTTTATCTATGTTGTTTGCTCCCACCGTCTAACATCTTCCAGTAAGATCTCTTTTATTGTTGTCTCTTTTTTCGGCATGCCTTTGTGTTGTTGTAACTTTGTGCTGAATTTCAGCTGTCCCACAGTGCATTGAGTGTGGTCTGTTTCCAAACTGAACCCGCAGTCGATGTTAAGCCAGCAGAGGAGTTCCCACCAGGTGATGTCCCGAAAGGGGGCGAGGACCTGCCATCTTCGGCGTATAGGAGAACTCCAGGGGGTCAACTGAAGACTAATAAATGACTTTCAAGCACGGTCAAGGCCAAATGTTTCCCTGCTTGTTCGTTGTAACTTCTGTGCTTTGTTGTACATCTGTTTATATATATCTCTCTGTATTCTCCTCCTTCCTGAAACGTCCTACTTATTTTGGCTATTGCGTTGCCAAGTCCTTAGTGGCGTTCTTATACTTCCCCAAATAACATCTCTCGGCCGTGGAGTAGCAGTCTAGACAATAAATCCCTAATTCCATATTTCTTTACCCTTTTTAATATAAATAAGCTAATTAAGTCTTTCGGAGTTAACTTCCGTAAGACCAGTGATCTCGGGAAGTGGACGATGCGGAGGCAATTACAGCGAAAAAGCTGGTCACATTTCGCCATATAGTTAATTAAAAGGCAGCCCGTGAACTACCGGTACAACAGTGTCTAATCTGTTGCATATGCCAAAAACATACCTACATGGAAACGTGCCTCCTCGTACCAACTCTATTAATTTATGGACATTTAGCAACGTAACGCAGCGAATTTGTTTGCTTCGGTCTCATAGACATCGCTCCGCTAGTTAGCTTAAACTTTTGTGGGTTTTGACCGTTTGTAGCCAACTAATTTCCATATCCCCCTATATAGATAAGCTTATAGTTTGCGCCGCACTGTTTGGTGTCTCTCAGCATCTCGTACACTACGGAGCATTAATGACCGGTGCAGAGATATTCAGCCCAGTTTGCTGTCTTGGTTCCCGGTTAGGCCTAGAGATTTCAGCAAACTGCTTGTGTGAGAGGGCCGGCGAGTTGATCAGACCCTTCTAGAATTTGACGACTGCTCGAACCGGCAGCAAAAATTACTCGCATCATGCCCTGGCCATTGTGTCTGAGTCTATCAGTGGATTTATGTGCCCCTAAAGTGAGTCATGTGGTAGGTGCGCTAAAGGAATACGGGGTCAGATCAGGACATGACAGGTATTATTGGGGATGCGTACCAATGCCAAATGGCAGGAGAGTGCTGTGGTGGCACGCCTGGGAATGGGTTCGCGCAGCGTCAGACTCCCGCATCTGATCCCGTCCCGGCCTTCTCGATGTCGTTATAATGCCGAAGGGTGAGGAGGACGAGGAGAGTGTGGTAGATCCAGTGCAAGTCCACTATTTCTATAAGTCAAGTTGCGTTTACTTTATCTTTTCATCCACCCTGACTTGCGGTACACGGTAGACCTTGTTGAAATCGACTGTTGAACTACCAGTTTGATCCAGGTTTGAGATCTGGCGATGGGGACTGGGGTAGCATAACCTCCCTTCGTATTCGTCCTTGACGTAGTTTTCTATATACTTCCACGGTCTTAAGGGGATACTTAAGAAAACGGAAACCCCTTATCACCTTAATATTTTCTCTTCCTGTTTTTAATCATCCTGAAGCCTCCTCTCTACTAGACTATCAGGTGGACGGTTTCGGCGACAATCTTCTCGGCATCGTCTGCTAAACTGGGCAGGACGTAGTATTCGTATTTTGCCGGGCAGTGATTTGGGATTAGCACGATCTAGGCGTTCAAATCGAACGTGTCTGTGTGTAAACACTAGAGCGAGTTTCCCATGAGACCACCCGGAGACCGAACATAGGCAACATCGGATTCCGTTGTATTTCCCACGCCTCAGCGCAGTTTTTAAATCTCGGACAAAATTGCCAGTATACGCCAAGTTGTCCTCTTTCAAACCCTCGAAGTGACAGGCGCGTTTACTGTCAACCTCGGAATGTAATTAGTGCGGTGTAGGAACCGACTCAGCCAAGGCATCCGGCGCGCATGTGGGCGTTCTCTCGCGACTTTCAGTGGCAGACACCACTTGCCAACCACGCAGGCTGCAAGCGGAGTAAAATGATGTAAAATATGGGTAGTGTTGACCCTTCTCGTAGGAAGTGGGAGAAACAACGCTGTGCGCGTTTGTAGGTTTTGTCCTTCATCCAGTTCACGTTTATCTTCCTAATCGGAAGGGTCCTTTCAAAGGGATTTGCCGGTTGTTTCGTGTCTGGTGTAAGCCAGATGGAAATAGGGCATCAGAAAGGCAGGGTGGCGGGCGCGCATGTCCCCGTCGGCCGCCATCTTACGACGGTTAGGCAGGTTTCTCGCGCTGGGGATGTAAACTGGCAATAAATAAATAAAATTACACTACCCCAGAAGAGCAAATCTGGGTTATGAGGAGGTCAGGACACCACACTGGCACCTTAATGGTGGACATCGTCGGATGCGACGGTCAAGCTGTCGTGTGGGCCTAGATCAGGTGTAGAGTTTAAACGCCTATACTGTTATCAAAAGTAACCTTATGTGAATTGGGGTGAAAATTTGCATTCTGACTGTATGCAGAAGTGGGGAAAAAGGCTATTCGACTGCCGAAATGATGCCCTTATTCTCGATTTATTTCGGACCTTTCGAACTCATGCAGGCGTCTGTCTTCAGCTATAGAAACGGCAATGGGACAAAAGACAGGTAAAGGGGATAGGAGCCAGTCTCAAGGTGACTGCGCAGGGCTTTGTATGCCGACGATAAATCGATTGTTGTCAAAAGTAGGTGATATTTCAGAATGAGTACGAAAGAGTGACTGTTCAGGATGCTAACAGCCGAGTAGGATAATCGTGAACGCTAAGCATCTTCGCTCACATTCTACAAAACTATATTTAAAAAATTTTAATAGATTTTATTACCGGATCAGTGGAATCTCGAACGATTTTGGATTACATAAATAACACGAGTGATCACTCCAGCAATCGGTCAGTCCTCGGAGGTTTACAGTAGCTGACCTTTCTCACGAAATGTCTATCGAATTTTTCAACTGGGTTTTCGTGTCGAAGGGGTTGCTAATGTAGAAATGTACGATTGCTTATCATGTAGCCTCTTTTTAAGGTATTTTAATCAAAAAGGGATGCCGGCTTTTGAACGAGCTTATTTCCGATGCCCCAGTTCGTAGACAACACACAGAAATGCCTTCTTTTACTCATTCGGTAGCAATTTTTATCTTCTTTAAATTTTGTACTTGAAAAAAGGTATATTAGGGTTCGCAAAAAGTTAATGAGCTTTTCTGCCGCTGCGAAATTTCCCTTCATACAACATCCTAGCTCTCCGTTTATAAATGCACCTAACGAAGTATAAAACATGGTCCACATTAATTACAAACTTTGATGGGCCTTAGATGACATCTTCTTGATAGGTGCCAGCGCAGTCGGAGACCTGATTAAAAAAGTCTTCAGAAATTACAACAACGTTTCTTGACATCTAAAAATGCTCATTCTGCGGATGTAACTTTTGAATAAGACCGAATGTGCTACTGAAAAAAATACAAGAAAGAATATTTTGTCCTATACAAAGTATTGTCAAGCTTGTGATAACAGTGACACTCAATATGAACTATCCGTGCAACTTAAACAAACATCTATCTACTGAATGTACGTTTTGCAGCCCATCGGAAGGCAGGTCAAGTACAAGTCGGCATCTTGATGGGACTGAAATATTTTTGGGACTATGTTGGACGAAAGTCAGTATTGAAAACCCTCTACCCTTCTGACAGAAAACACATTTCAGAAGTATGGACGACACTTAATCAAATACTAGCGCGGAAGCCCGGCTTCGCCTTGGACTTCCTTACATGTTGTTGT